TTGTCCTTCGGAAGCATCTTATTTTGGATTTTTAGTAACTCTCCAAATCCCTTGTCAGATACACCATTCTTTGCCTTCCATTGTAGCATATCTAGTGTGGTTCCCAACTTTTTCTGCCCTGCATCACAAGTTGGGTACAACAATTTCTTGTGATCTTCTAGCATCTGCTCGAACTTGATCTTCTCCTTTTCACTTTCACATTCTCTTTGTGCGTCATGAATGACCTGAGAAAGATCGTCAGCCGGCTCATCTTCTGCGGCTACCTCTTCTTCAGCTTTTCCCATTGCAGTATCATTGAAGCACGCACCATCGGGAATAATATCATTGTTGTCCTATTGTTCTTCTTCACCTTCTTCCATTACAACACCGGTTTCTCCGTGCTTTGTCCAACAAATATAGTTTGGCATGAAACCCGACTTGAACAAGTGTGAATGAAGAGTCCTTGAGCAAGGATATTCCACCGTATTCTTACATATGGCACATGGGCAAAGACATGAAACCATCGCGTTTGTTTGCCTCGCCGCGACGTAACAAAGAATGCTGCGCCGTCAATGAACTCTTAGGAGCGGCGATCAGCATTATACATCCAATGACGGCTCATCGCATTACATGACATAAATACCATATTAAAACCTAGATCATAATTAATTATTTATACAACATGCGTGCCACCACAAAAGATACAAATTTATGAAAGCATCGCTACAATGTAGACAATCCCAACTACCACTAAAAGAACTAAAGCTAAAATACATTTCAAAAGTAGCACTAGGATTTCACGACCAATCTCAACTAAAAGCAGACAGATCCCCGATTGTGCAACATCTTTGGGCTTCTTCTTACTGGATCCTTCGCCTCATTAGCCGCCCGATATCGCCTATTGTGCAAGATATTTTTGCACAAGTTCAACATACTCTTCCTCCTAGTAGAAGCCTGAACATTGTCCACTGCCATCCCACTGAAATTAAAACAAAAAATTAGAACTTTAATCACAACCATCATGAAAATAGGTATAAACTAACCATAATCATTAAATACGATAAAATAACTCACATTGCGATCCGGACACTTGTAGAAGATACGATCCTTGTTGGGACCCTCCTTCTTTACTTGGTACTCCATCACAATCTTCGCCGTCTCATCACGACACATGCCGCATGGAATGAGAGGGAGGCCAAAGCCTAAGTCGCTTTGGAAACCCATGAGAGGCCGAGGGACCTAAAGTTGCCATCTACTCTCTATACTCATTTTTTAATACACTATAAATTTCTCCTTTTATAAACAAATAAAATTAAGAAACTATAAAATTATCTAGATCTCTAAACAATGATATTTTTAATGGTCATTGTGTTCTCGTCTTTTACTGCGGCAGGTAAGTAATTCACATGATATTTCCGCAAATTAACAGAAGAATGGGAGTGTACACACATAACAGACTACTGCGATGATATCGGGACGTGTGAATAAATAACCATCCGTACTAGTTGACCTTGCTTACGTGATCATCTTAGCGAGCATTTCTCCACCGGACGGCACCGTACTTGGCCACGGAAGAGCTCCAATTCTACGAGGAAGAGAACACGGTCTTCCACGACCGTTGCCGCTCTCCCTCGTAGAATCAAAGCTCCTCCTTGACGTCCGTTACCGCTCCGCAGAGAACATGCTCGCCGAAATAAACACGGTCTGCTAGTTCAACTAGTACGGATTTTCTATAATTTTCTAACTATTTTCTAAGTTTTTCATTTCATAAAATGTTAAAATAAAAAGTACGGTGATTGACAGACTACTGCGACGATATCGGGACATGTGAATAAATAACCATCCGTACTAGTTGAACTTGCTTACGTCATCATCTCGGCGAGCATTTCTCCACCGGACGGCACCGTACTTGGTCAAGGAAGAGCTCCGATTCTACGAGGAAGGGAACACGGTCTTCCACAACCGTTGTCGCTCTCCCTCGTAGAATCAAAGCTCCTCCTTGACGTTCGTTACCGTTCGGCAGAGAACATGCTCGTCGACATGAACACGGTCCGCTAGTTCAACTAGTATGGATTTTCTATAATTTTCTAACTATTTTCTAAGTTTTTCATTTCATAAAAAATTAAAATAAAAAGTACGGTGATTGACAGACTACTGCGACGATATCGGGACATGTGAATAAATAACCATCCGTACTAGTTGAACTTGCTTACGTCATCATCTCGGCGAGCATTTCTCCACCGGACGGCACCGTACTTGGTCAAGGAAGAGTTCCGATTCTACAAGGAAGGGAACACGGTCTTCCACGACCGTTGTCGCTCTCCCTCGTAGAATCAAAGCTCCTCCTTGACGTTCGTTACCGTTCGGCAGAGAACATGCTCGCCGACATGAACACGGTCCGCTAGTTCAACTAGTACGGATTTTCTATAATTTTATAACTATTTTCTAAGTTTTTCATTTCATAAAAAGTTAAAATAAAAAAGTACGGTGATTGATGGACTCATCTGCTGCGATATCGGGACATGTGAATAAATAACCATCCGTACTAGTTGAACTTGCTTACGTGATCATCTCGGCGAGCATTTCTCCACCGGACGGCACCGTAATTGCCACGGAAGAGCTCCGATTCTACGAGGAAGGGAACACGGTCTTCCACGACCGTTGCCGCTCTCCCTCGTAGAATCAAAGCTCCTCCTTGACGTCCGTTACCGCTCGACAGAGAACATGGTCGCCGAGATGAACACGGTCCGCAAGTTCAACTAGCTACTTTAACCTTCTTTCATGTAAATATGCAAGCTTGAAGTGATTTTAAGCTCAAATTGCTTACAAATGAAAAAAAACCACAATAAAGAACCATATATATATAGTGAACAAAATGAGATAAGACAATGGTGAAAAATGAGAGTATGAGATTGGTAACCTTTACAACTGAAGAATCGACGGAGAAATCGAAGAAATCGATGGAGGAATCGAAGAATGGATGGAGGAACAATGGAGGGAGGGAGGAAGCAAGAACACTACTGCAGTGAGCTTCAAAATGTGCTGAGCTCGGGCTCGGGGAGGAAGGAGACGGCCGGAATATAAAGGGGGACCTTTAGTCCCGGTTGGTGGCTCCAACCGGGACTAAAGGTAACTTTCTAACCCCAGGCGCAGCCACGGCCCGGGAGTAGACCTTTACTCCCAGTTGGAGCCACCAACCGGGAGTAAAAGTATACCTTTAGTCCCGGTTGGTGGCTCCAACTGGGACTAAAGGTCCCTGCCATCTCTGTCTGGCGCAGTAGCCGTTGGGTAGGGACCTTTAGTCTCGGTTGGAGCCACCAACTGGGACTAAAGGTATTTCTAGTCCCGGGCGCAAAAAATTCTGGGACTAGAGCCCATTTTGACCGTGGATCAAAGGTCTGTTCTCTACTAGTGTAAGAGGATCAGGAAGGAGTTCGCTCCAGGAGATATGGTATTACTTTTAATTCTAGGGTGAAATTATTCGAGCACAGAAAACTTCGGAGCAAATGGAAAGGGCCATTCAAGGTTATAAACAACTCGTCGCATGGAGCGGTAACACTTCAAAATGATGGAGGTACGTTATTCAAGGTAAATGCTCATCGTCTCAAGATCTTTCTAGAACCTAAAAAACCACCAGAGGGTTTGGATGAGGTAGATTTTATTATTTTGCCATAGAATTACACCTTTGCCCTCCTCCTCACGATTCATAGCGCGGTAGTATATTCTTTGGAACTAGATAAACATTAGAAACCGTCAAGCGAAAAATCTCCAAGAGGTGGCACCCTGTGGGCCCGACCAGCCCCACCTACAGGTTGGTCGGTTCACCTGTCTGTCTCTTCACCCCCGCTCGATTTGCTCACGAACCTTCCAGAGTATTCCTACGAGAATATCCAATTTTCTGAGCCATTCGGTTTTTCCTCGTTACGAGACTCCTAATGAATAGATCTTGATCCCTGATGCACATCTATCCCCCTATATAAACAAACCCCTGCCTACCTCCATAGCCATTCCAACAAGCCTCTGATCTCCGGCAGCAACAAAGCTTTCATCCTTCCAAGTTCAAATGGCTGGTAAAGCGATCATTCCTACAGAGTTGAAGATGCTATACAGCTAAGCGTCATCCCACCACGAGAGATAGCTCCTGTCCCTAGCCAATCCTACTTCGCCCAAGTCTATTCAACTAAATTTTATTGTAATAAACCAATGAACCTACGTGTAAATCCATCATAACTTTATCTATAACCATACCTGTCTATATAAGAAGGCATAGGGATCCTATTATAGGCATCCTGCATAGCTCCACCCAAAGACGCATAGATGCAAATATCTACTCGGAAACGACTCCACAGCCCGCAGCGGAAAACAGTAAAGATTCTCATCTATACTGGATGTAGATAAATTTACATCTCGTATACTAAATTTTGAGTCAAATGCTAAATCCTATGGCGACACGGCTGTTAGGCTAACGAATCTTACAATTCATGTGGCATGAGCAGGGCACATGCATTATTTTGAGAATAGTCCAAGAATTATATATATTATTTTGAGGACGAAAGGAGTACATTCTTTTCACAAGTTGTGATGACTTATTTTCCAACCCTACCATATACAGCCTACTATATGCAGGAAGGAGCCAAGAAAAGCAGTCTCCGCCAATCCGTCTGTTTTCTTCCAGTGACGGGCCCGCGCATCAACTTGGATGAGAAAAAAATGCCTCGGATTCCCATGGCTCTCGCACCCCACGTTTTTGGTCGCCGTCATCTAACGGTCAAGCTTACTTGTTTCATTTTCACTTTCCTTTTTTTTTTATTCACAAATATTCAGATGTTCACACGTTTCCATTCCCCATGGTGCTCCTAAAGAAAGCTTGTGGCATACTAAAATTTCATTATAAAAACATTCATGGAGCTCGTTTGCGGAGAGAGAGAGTATAGAACTTGATTAGTGATTACCTGAAGTTGTCCCCATGAAGTAATGCTATCATCTTCTTTCCAAATTGAAGCCTCACACCAAAGACCACCATGGCACATGGACATCTTGCACGCATATCCATCATGCTGTGGATCGTGTTTTCCACTGCTGCTGCTGCTCTAGACGCAAGCCGGAGCAACGGCAGCAACTCCGACCTCGCTGCTCTGCTGGCTTTCAAGGGGCAGGTCGCCGATCCTCTCGGCATCCTCGCAAGAAACTGGACCGCTGCCACCTCCTTCTGCGTCTGGGTGGGCATCACATGCAGCCACCGTCGTCGGCAGCGCGTCACCGCCCTGGAGCTGCCGGGTGTATCCCTCCAAGGAGTGATCAGCCCTCACCTCGGTAACCTCTCTTTCCTCTCTGTCCTCAACCTCTCCAGCACCAACCTCACGGGCACAGTCCCGGATGGTATAGGAAGGCTGCGCCGCCTCAAGCTCCTTGACATTGCCCACAATGCCCTGTCAGGTGGCATCCATGCCACCATAGGGAACCTCACAAGGCTTCAGATTCTTGATCTCAGCTTTAACCAGCTTTCTGGTCCCATCCCAACAGAGCTACAAGGCTTGCGCAACCTTGGCCGCGTGAGTCTCCAAATGAATTACCTCAGTGGTTTCATACCGAATGACCAGTTCAACAATACACCCTTGTTAACTTATTTGAACCTCGGCAATAACAGCCTGTCAGGAGTGATACCAGATTGCATCGGCTCCTTGCTCACACTTGAGATCCTTGTCCTGCAATTCAACAATCTTACGGGGCCGGTGCCGCCAGCCATCTTCAACATGTCTACCTTGAACGTTATCGCTGTATCCTCGAACCACTTGACTGGCCCTTTCCCGGAGAATGGAAGTTTCAGCCTCCCAGCTTTGCAATACATTCAGCTCTCTGATAATAGTTTCAGTGGTACCATTCCACAGGGGCTCTTGGCGTGTCGGCACCTCATAGAGCTTTCTCTAGCAAAAAATTCATTTGAGGGTGTTGTGCCGGTATGGCTAGGAAAGCTGACCAATCTCCAGTTCATTAACGTGGGCTGGAATGACCTCACTGGTCCGATCCCTGCTCAACTCAGCAACCTCACCGGGCTAACTGTCATGGAAATCGCCTTTTGCAATCTGACAGGAATCCTTCCGGCAGAGCTTGGACGGCTAGGCCAACTTTCCGAACTGTATCTCTCGAGCAATCAGCTAACAGGAACTGTTCCTGCTTTTCTTGGAAACCTTTCTCAGTTAGTATGGCTGTTTTTGGATGGAAACCAGTTGTCTGGATCGGTACCGTTAACAATTGGTAACCTGAACTTGTTGACGACACTTAATATTGGGGGAAACAGTCTCCAGGGTGATCTTAGTTTTCTTTCTGTTATTTCCAACTGTAGAATGCTCTCAGACTTTGAAATCTATTCGAATTATTTCACTGGAAGCATCCCAGTTTATTTGGGCAACCTGTCAAGTCAGCTCCAAATATTTCTTGCTAATGACAACAAGTTAACTGGTGAAATTCCAGCTGCCATCTCGAACTTAACTGCTCTCACTGTGCTAGATATTTCGTCAAACCAATTTCATAGTGCAATTCCAGGACAACTGATGATGCTAGAGAATCTCTACTGGCTCAAACTCAGTAGAAACAGCTTGTCTGGCTCCATCCCTTCAAACATTGCAATGCTAAAGAATGTGGTCAAGTTATTCCTTCCAAGCAACCAATTCTCCGGCGCCATACCCAAGGGCATCGGCAACCTCAGCAAACTAGAGTTCCTAGTGTTATCAAACAACCAATTAACATCGACTGTACCACCGAGCCTGTTTCACCTTGATAGCCTCATCAGGCTAGACCTATCTCAAAACATGTTGAGTGGTGTGTTACCGGTTGATACAGGCTATATGAAGCAAATTTATATGATGGATCTATCTATCAATAACTTTGTTGGTAGCCTCCCAGATTCAATGGGACAGCTCCAGATGATGGCCTACTTGAACCTGTCACACAATTCATTCAACGATTCAATTCCACAATCTTTTCAGAAACTGGCCAGCCTGCAAAATTTGGACCTATCCCATAATGGTATATCTGGAACCATCCCAGAGTACTTGTCAAATTTTACCATCCTCATTATCTTGAACCTATCTTACAATAAATTACACGGTCAGATACCAGAAGGTGGCGTGTTCTCAAACATCACGCTGCAATCACTTATGGGGAACGCAGGGCTCTGTGGTGCTTCACGCTTGGGATTGCCACCATGTTCAGCCAAGTCTCACACAACCAGTGGTCATGGTCACAAGATGAGATTTTTGCTCCCCACTATAATCATAATAATACTTGCAGCTCTGGCTTGCTTCCTATACATTATGTTCAGAAAGAAAGTCAATAAGCGTGAAGAGATTTCTGCTTGTATGGTCGACATGATCAGCCATCAGTTAGTCTCCTACCATGAGCTTGTTCGTGCTACTGACAATTTCAGTGATGATAACATGCTGGGGTCTGGAAGCTTTGGGAAAGTTTTTAAGGGACAGCTGAGCAACGGTGTGGTGGTTGCAATAAAAGTTATACACGCGCATCTGGATTATGCCATGAGAAGCTTTGACGCCGAGTGCAGTGTGCTCCGAATGGCACGACATCGCAATCTGATAAAGGTTCTGAATACATGTTCCAACCTGGACTTCAGAGCACTTGTTCTTCAGTTCATGCCCAACGGTAGCTTAGAGGCACTCCTGCACTCTGAAGGTAGAAGGCACCTGGGGCTCCTTGAGAGGCTGGACATCATGCTGGGCGTGGCGGCAGCAATGGAGTATCTGCACCATGAGCACTCCGAGGTGGTCTTGCACTGTGACCTGAAGCCTTGCAACGTCCTCTTTGACGAGGGCATGACCGCACATGTGGCAGACTTTGGCATTTCAAGGTTGCTGCTAGGCGATGATAGCTCCATGATCTCTGCGAGCATGCCAGGGACAATTGGTTACATGGCACCAGGTAGCACTAATGCCCAATCAAAGATGATTAGAGTTACCTTTAATAGATTAACTATGTTTGATCAATCATTAATATTTCGATCTGTCTTTTGTTTATGGTAACTTTGTTGTCAGAGTATGGATCTCTTGGAAAAGCATCGCGGAAGAGCGACGTGTTCAGCTATGGGATCATGCTGCTTGAAGTGTTCACTGGGAAGAGACCCACGGATGCCATGTTTCTGGGAGAACTAAGCATCAGGCAGTGGGTACATCAGGCGTTTCCTGCAGAGCTTGTCAATGTTGTCGACAACCAGCTTCTGCTGGATGGCTGTGGCTCTGCTTCTACAAATATTATGAGTGGTTTTCTTGTGCCAATTTTCAAGCTGAGCTTGGTCTGCTCCACTGACTCGCCGGAGCAAAGGATGGCTATGACCGAAGTGGCAGTGACGCTGAAAAAGATCAGAAATGATTATGTCAAGTCAACAGCACCGGAGCATTGCGTTGCAATCGATCACCATTAGTAAAATTATGTATGCGAAGGCATATATGTCTAGTCTCAAGTTTTGTTTGTAGGTTGTATTTGGACCTTTCTCCTAATAAATAAGAGAAAAAATTTATGGTGCTCCTTAACATGTCTCTGTTGATAGCTAAATTTCGCAAATTATAAATATGGATCATGCAAATTATTTGGCCGAATGATTGGTTACTTGGACAGGTTAATTTATTCGGCTTTAAAAATCTAAAGATCCTAATGCCAGTATTGCCCGGATGGGAATACAGATTAAAGAAGGGAGTGCTGGTAATTAATTAGCCGCGTCGTGCTATTGTTAGCAATTTTTTATTAAGAAGACATGCAGGTGCAGGTACGTGAGATAGCAGAGGGGAAGACCAGGCACGTCTTGCGCATGGCGGCATGCACCACGGAGATCCTGAGGAATCGGGCACACAGAGGAAGGAGTCCACACATAGAGAGATTAGTTGCCATGGTAAGATCAAAGTCTAGATCACCCTATATATTTATGGGGTTAAGGCCGGTAGAGGGTTCACCCAAATAGTCCAAAAACAAATCTACTATTTTCGCAGTTATTCTTATGTACCTTTCTGTTTCGTTCGTTTTCTCTTCTTCCGTCTCCGTTCTTGCCTGCCAAGTTCAGAGATCGCAGTGCTAGGGCCAATCCTAGTTGCTGCATCCATCAAGCCGAATCTAGACGCCACTTAGGTCCCGTTTGAGACTAATCTATTTGTCGGTGTTTCGGACCGGAGGTCCTCAACCAACCAGTATATGTGAACTGCGTGCTCCTAATCCTGGATGGTGATGCAAAGAGACACAAAGTTTATACTGGTTCAGGCAATCGGTGCCCTACGTACAGTCTAGGAGATCGATCTTGTATTCTTTGCACCGAAGTGCTTGTAGTAGGGGGTTACAAGCTGGGTGAGAGAGGAAGCTAGTCCCAGGTCTCGGCGTGGAGTGGTGCGGGTTGCTCGAGTCGTTGCTCTCAGGCAGCGTGGGAGCGTGCGCGAATTGAGTGAGTGCGTTTTGCGTGTGAGGGCCGGCGTGGTCTCGATCCATAGAAACAGCCCTGGCTGCTTCCTTTTATAGCCACAAGGAGGGAGCCAGGAGTACATGAGAGAGCTACATGTGGAGCCTTAGCGAGGAAGGAAGATCCAGTACTGTGGCCTATTCCTGTAGCAGCACAGTGTCGGGAATGGTAATTGGTACTTGATCACTGGTGCGTCATGCCGGCCATGCCTGAGGCTGTTGAAGTCGTAGGGGTCCTCGTTGACGTTTAGTCAATATGGCCTCCTCTGTAGGTGAAATATCGTGCCTTGTGAATTTTTGACTTGGTAGTTCGCCGAGGCCTGGCAGGTGTTTGTGGCCGATCTCTTAAGGGGATGAGGATGTAACACCCCGGCTCAGGGCTTAATAGGATTAATAGGATACTCGTACCAATAAGTTGCAACTTCTTTTCCGGAAGCCCATCTGCAAATAACTCCGAGGTTAAGCGTGCTTGGCCTGGAGCGATGGGTGACCGATCGGGAAGTTCTTCCTGGGGGCGCATGAGTGAGGACAAAGTGCGCAGAAAAGACTAGTGTTGGTCTGTGAGGGCAGTCTATGTCCTAGGAAAGCTATCAGATGTAAGCGGGCCCAGCCTCGGAGAGGTGGGACGTTACACTGCATACGGGCGTCAAGCGCGCACTGGCCGTCATCGCCTCGCACTATGTCGGCGTTGACCTCCAAGCCATCAGCGATGGCTACATCCTGCCCGATGATGACGAGGAGGCCGATGAGGTGGTGACGAAGCTGATGGAGGCGGCGGAGGGTCCCGGCACGGTGCTGGCTGGGCTGTTCGAAGAGGAGGTTGTCCCTCCTCCGCCGTCCGCCGATGCTGGAGACCCTACGCCGTGACCTGGGCCCAGGAGGCCATGTAATTAGATTAGGGATTATGTTGTCCTATCATAACGTTGGCGGCTGTTGAGGCCTTTTTAAAGTGATCGTGCGCCGATGCTTTTTCGATCGTTTTTCCTTATTGTATTTCCGAGCCTATGCCCTCTGTCTTGTTTCTGAACGTATCTCTTGTAAAAAACTTCCTCGGAGCCTAAGTTGCCCCTTGGGTAGAAGGTGGTGAGGGAGTGCCGTAGCCCAGAGGCGTAGGCCGTCTCGCGACTCAGCCGGCCTTCTGACCTTGAGACAGTCTTTTGGTCCTTAGGTTCTTTCACAATCGATTTGTTAGAGCACGCTTGAGAGTTCGGCGTAGGAATTTTTTCGAAAAACGACTTAAGAACGGTGCGTGGGACTTAGGGGGGGAGTCCCCCCTTCTAGCCCCCGAGGGAGGCTCGGTTCTGTAAAGACAGAGCAGAGCCTTCCTCGTGGTGTTATCGTAATGCCGAGCCCCGCGATGGGCTCGGCGGGTTTCTAGAAAATTTAGAACAACTAAAGAACGCCTCTTAATTGTATTTCGAGAAACAGATTGTACAATGCTTGGAAATTCTAAGGGTAGAAATGACGTAGCTGTTCTATGTTCCAAGCGTTGGTGAAGCTTTCGCCTTTCTCGTTGGCTGACTTGTAGGTCCTAGGTTTTAGTACTTGGCGATGATGTACGGTCCTTCCCATGGCGGGGGGTCGACTTGTGGCGGCCCTGTTGTTGCTGCTGCCTCGATCTCAAAGACCAGGTCGCCCACCTTGAGTGTCTCGGTTTCAGACGTATCTGCGGGCTTGATAGCGTCGTAGGGCTTGCTGGTACTTGGCGGAATGTAGCAACGCAACATCTCGGGCTTCCTCCAGTTGGTCGAGAGCGTCCTCGCGGGTAGTGTGGTTGCTTTGCTCGTTGTAAGCCTACAGCCTTGGGGAGCCGTACTCCAAGTCAGTTGGGAAGATGGCCTCGGCTCCATAGACCAGGAAGAACGGCGTGAACCCCGTGGCTCGCGCCGAGTCTGACAGGGAGGTGTTCGAGCCAGGCTCGCGCCGAGTCTGACAGGAACAAGGGCAGGTTACGGATGATGAGCAGGTCATCGTTCGCGCCACCTAGCTGACAAGCCAGGCGGTAATCAGCCAGCCATAGCTCGGGGTTGGTCTCGCCACTATACTTTGCGAGATTGGCTGGTTGCCAGAACTGGGCAGGGAATGGAGCGCCGCGGATGGCCTTGCTGAAGACTCTAGGGCCAGGCGGCCCAGGAGAAGGACTGCGGTCCTCCCTACTATCGTAGCGGTCACCTCGGTGTGGGTGGTAATCTCGGGCGAGCCCGTCGTTGTCGTGGCGTCGTCACCTGCTGACCACGTCGTGGTCCTCTTGCGCCTCGCGTCGGTCGCTAAGGCGGTCGTGGACTGAGGGGGCCTTGAGGCTATCGTGCACCGAGGGCCGCTTCGAGATGTTCTCACATCGCCGAGACGCGGAGCTCTCGGCCTGCTGTACTGCGGCGGTCTCGAGAAGGTCTCGGAGCTCGCCGTGGACCCATCGCCCCTCCATGGTAGAGGGCTCGGGCATCGCTCGGACTAGCATCGCCGCCGCCGCGACTAGCACGATTGAAGATTGGGGGTTGCTCACACCCTTCGTCGTTGTTGATGCAGCGGTGTACATCGTGGGCCCTCTACCGGGCCCCTCCGCCATCACCGCGGCCTTGCTGCTCCTGCTCGAGAGTGTCTCATAGCTGCTGCAGCAGGAGTCAATCTTGGTCGACTTTTGCCTGGAGCTCACGGAGCTGCTCCAGGTCCAGGCGTCGGATATCCCCGGGGGCGATGTTCACGTTCCGCGCCGCCCGGAACTCGACGAGCGGGGGTGTGGCGTCGCCCGCCCCTTGGCGGAGTGGGGACCGGTTGCCTGCCCTCTCACCCTCGTCACTTGCCCCTGGCATTCCGAGCCCGACGTGGATACACTCTCGAGTGGGATCGTAAGTGCTTTCGTCATCGGAGTCGGAGTGGCCGAAGTAGTAGTTGCTTGCGGCCAAGAAGCGGCGCATAGCCTTGGGGTCACGAAGCCCAAAGAAGTCCGCTTCGGCCCATGCCTCGTCCTCCTCCGAGGATTCAGTGTGGGTGTGGGTTGAGATTGTGGTGGAGAAGTCGAGGGCGAATCATTGGTGGTGTCCCGAGGGCTCTGCATGCGCGGAGGCGTAAGCGAAAGCGTAGGCGACGGCGATGTTTTCAGCCCGAAGAGGTACGGGGATGGTGCCACCGCTGGGCTCCGCTCCACCTGAGTCGATTCCTCAGGAAGTGGCGGGGCAGAGCTTGATGACGGGACATCGCTGCGCGCTACTGGCGTCTCTCCCCTGTCCAGGCTTAGGCTAGACAGGTCCCCAGCCAGGGACTCTGTACCAACAGCCGGGCAAGGGATGTCGGCAGAGTGCGGCGCGTAGCCCTGAGTTCGCATGGCGTCGGAGTAGTCCCGCTCGCGTCGTGCCTGGCGAGCATGACGAGAGCGGCGGCCCGGGCGCCACCTGCGCCCGGGCTGCCGATGCGCGACGTCATCGCCGGCCGGTGGGGCTCTGGGTGTGAGGAGTACCATATCGTACTCACATCCTAGAGCCATGAACTCTAGGCTGCCAAACCAGACCAATGTGCCGAGACGTAGTGGATGTATGGGGTTAGCCATCCGGAACTTATTGGGACGATCACGCTAACACGCATAGGCCCCTACCTGGCGCGCCAACTGTCGGTGTTTCAGACCGGGGGGTCCTCAACCAACCAGTAAATGTGAACTGCGTGCCCCTAATCCCGGATGGTGATGCAAAGAGACACAAGGTTTATACTGGTTCAGGCAATCGATGCCCTACGTCTAGTCTAGGAGATCGATCTTGTATTCTTTGCACCGAAGTGCTTGTAGTAGGGGGTTACAAGCTGGGTGAGAGAGGGAGCTAGTCCCAGTTCTCGGCGTGGAGTGGTGCGGGCTGCTTGAGTCGTTGCTCTCAGGCAGCGTGGGAGCGTGCGCGAATTGAGTCAGTGCGTTTTGCGCGTAAGGGCCGGCGTGGTCTCGATCCATAGAAACGGCCCTGACTGCTTCCTTTTATAGCCACAAGGAGAGAGCCAGGA